CTCTCCCCCCAGACTGACGTAGATTTCTTCCTGTTCCTCCTTTATGTGTTCAGGCTTTGGGTCATTCAGGTGAGCATATGGTCTGTAGTCCACAGGTTCCTCTTCTTTAACAATCACCACCTGCTGAACATCTGCAGAAAACATTGAAAAGCATAATGCATATTAGAAAGTAAGGCACTTAAACAGAAACAATGTTCTTCAATTATAATTACTTCTCTTATTTTTCCCATTCCTTATTTTTTTTTTCTTAAATAACTGTTTTTCACATATCCAGTGATGATGTCTGAACTTATTCAAGCATATAACGCATTTTATTATTGTACTTAGCTTATTCAGACTTCAGTACAGTGCTAGACCAAGAGTCTAAGAGTCCTTATGAAACTTCATTAAAAATTGTAAAATCGTGTAAAACAGACATGGAGACTTAAAAGGAGGGGAGAAAGAGGGGCATAAACTTAAATATGTGTGGCAGTAGAGAGAAAATAAAACAGCACAAGTAGACAACACAGGAGATATACAGTTAACTCCTAGTCTGCCTCCACACTTGTATGAGATTAGGGGTGGGGGGACATTTGCGTTCACTCAGACGACCTGGTGTCCGTGTATAGCCCAGCCTTTAGTTAAATAACATGCTGTGGTACATCTCTGGTGTTTCTTCTATTTTTCACATATCCATTACTGTAAAAATGTCCACAGCTATTATTGATTTTTTTTTTTTTACTGTCCAGATACAGAGTATTTATATTGTAAAAAGCACTGTACATTAAAATACTCAATTTGTTTTTTTGTTTTTCCTATCTGATATTTATTTTACACTTTCTAAGGTGCACAATGTGTGACCACTTCTTCTATAACCTTCTGCTGCTGTAACATCACAGTTTCCTCATTGTGGGACAATAAAGGGAGTTTCTATTCTACTCGATTCTATTCATCAAGATTACGATCCTGCCTTAATGGTTTAATGGAGGATTTTCTTTTTACTAGTGGATCATCAAAATAAAGCCCTTATTACACTACCCTCTGAAAACCAATCCGTGCCGAGTTCAGACTGAGCTTGGATCAGTTAAAGCCAATTTTCGGGTCGATTTTCCAGTCGTGCGAGAATTTTCCGATCGGGCCGACTTTCAGCCTGATCGTGAGTCCTGAGTCATGTAGTGTACAGGGGGTTATGAGCAGTGATCAGCCTCTCACGACCACCTCTTGATCAGGAATCGTGAGATCGGGAGAAAATCAAACATGTTTGATTTTGACCATCGTTGGCAAATTGCTCAGGGCGCAAAGAAGGATTCTTCTTTTTATTCTTTCTCTGAGATGTAAACATAGCAGTGTGGCAGAAATGCAATGAGTGAAATGCAGTTCTGTCTGTAAAATTGACAGACCGTAGTAGCCATGTTTGTTCAGCCATGACTTTTTTTCAAATACTTCATCGCCTTTTCTTTTCAGGACTTTCAGCACAAAATTGCACAAATTGCCAAGGCAGCACGGTTCACTATAGTGAGCTTAATATTCCCCTTCTATTTGTTTGGCTTCAGGATAGACGAGTCAGAGCAGCTCCATCTCAGTGCGGAGCTAAGTCCAACGTGGTTTTTAGTCGCACAGTGTGAGCAGGTAGATCGCATCAGAGCGTCGTGCTGCACATCGTGAGCTGTGAGCTCACACTGTACAACTAAACCCTGTGGTTAATCGTACAGTGTGAGCAGCAGCTAAGTTCAACGATTGAAAACAATCGCACAGTGTACGCCCGGCTTAACTGCGCCGACCGTTTACACACCACGCTATCACGGTTCCTCTCCTCCTAGAGACGATCTAAGGTACTACTGCTCTTTAGAGGTTAACAAGCAAATCAAACTTGATTTTAGAAAAGTAATACTGCTGAAAAGTATTTTATAAAATAGCTGGATTTAGTTTGTTAGAGAAAGAGAGAAATACTGAACAGAAGATATAAAATAATCATTAAATACAGAAATAGAAATAAGTAAACCTTCCTTTAGATTTTTAGAATGATATTACATGTTTAGTATGTATTTTCTTTAGTTATTGCTACAATTTTAGGTCAGTGTCAGGTGAAGTAATTTGTTTTCTGAAGTATTGTAAGCTATTGATGGCTACAACCAGCTCTCTATTACAGTTATTTTGATAATTTAAGCGTAACTTATTTTCAGGTCTTTTTAGTGTTTTGTAAGCTTTCAAGTGGCCGTTATCTCCTTAGAAGATACACAAGTGAAGCATTAACAAAGGTAATTTATATAACTGAATTGGGATTTCAGAAAAGTATATATATATATATATATATATATATATATATATATATATATATATATATATATATATATATATATATATTTTTTTTTTTTTTGGTGCCCTGTCTTCGGCTTATTGTGACAATTTGATGATATCAGCATTTAACAGAGAGACATCTTTACTCCAGTTTGTGTTTCTATTTTTCTAATTACAGAAATAAGAACATGATCTGAAAATTAAGAAGCTCTTTCCTGGGTGTGCAATATCTGTAAGGCCAAAAGTAGGAATTGCCAGTTTGTCAAATATAGTTTCAACCTTGATTCATTGTTTAAGTCCCGGCTTTGACGTTGTGCATTTAAAAGGATCTACTGGTCCAAATCATGTTAATATCAACGAGGATCACAAACTCCTTGTTTTTTTTTTTTGTTTTTTTTTATAATGTTTCAAAGCCTCCTTTTATGTTCATTTCAAATTGAATTTAAAAATAATTTATTGACCCAAAAGTGTAACTAACCATTTTGTAACTTATCACAAAAAAATTACAAAAATTAGTTCTAGATGTTGATCTCTAAAGTAGTAGATAGTTTTAGCTGTAAGCATAAGGGATCTTTTATAGCCGCCGGCCTGATGAAGTATTTTACTAAAGACAATTGTATGGAGCAAAGATGACACCTTGAGGTTTGTAATTAACCAGGGGCCATATGCCCAACTCCACTACTTCCTGAATTTCTGCCAGTTACTTTGTTTCCTGTCTTTCATTACTGGACAAACTGTTTAATTCAGGTGCATCTGAACTCAGTAAGCATGATGACATTATAATTTTTGATTAACTGGGCTTAGGCAACAAATGTAAGTACTGTACAATGACTGTAGTACTTTAATATCAAAAAGGGGAGGCTTACCCCCCCTCTTTATAGTAAAACCAAAAGTCTGACACGGTTGCCCATGTTTTTCATTGCAGCAATAGAACTCCATGCTTGTGCATTGAGACAAAAGGGTATAATTAGAGGAGTAATTCCTCCTGGCAGCAAAGGCAAAGAAGCTTAATAAACAATGTATATGGATGACCTGATCCCTTTTACTTACAGAAAACAGGCAAAAGTCCACAGCTGTGTGAAAAGTTTAGTTGAGCTTCAGACAGATAATAAATATGAAAAAGATTATATTCATTGGAAGGAGACAAGAGAGACAAGGGGGTCAGTTGAATAAAAGAGAAATCAAGATTTTAGGAGTACAAATGAGGACATCACAGATAAAGAAAGTTACAAAGCGAAACCCCCAAAAGGTCAAGGGGAATTAAACGAGTAAGGTTTTGGTTTTAAAACCAGAAGTTATAGCTTCACTGGCTTACCTGGCAGCCATTTTAAAATAATGATGAAATTATGGAAAATAAAGTTTAATTTTCATTGGGGGAGTCAACGTGAAAAAGTACAAAGAGATGTCATATGCAGACCATTGAAAAAGAGGGAGGACAGTCCAGGCTATTTAAATTCAATTAAATTAAACGCAATGTTTGTGTCGACTATTTTAAAAACCTGTTTGGAGAGCTCCAATCAAGCAATTGGGACATTTTTTTGATAGATTTTGGGAAGGACGTAGAGCACAGGTTTCGAACTGGTTCCAGAAAGGGCCGTGTGGCTGCAGGTTCTCTTTCCAACCAAGCAATAGCACACCAGACTCCATTCAAGTCATCATGTTCATATTGGACTCTTTTGATTAGATGACTGGAGTCTGGTGTGCTATTGCTTGGATGGAAAGAAAACCTGCAGCCACACGGCCCTTTCTGGAACCAGTTTGACACCCCTGTCCTGGAGTGTTGACAACATGGGCTAAATGTCTGAAACTAACCTCTCCCTATTCAGAGGTCCATTTCACAACGCAAGTTTTAAAAATCTTCAATCCTCAACTTTCAATTGATCTAGCCTACAGTTGGAAACTGAGATTTCAGTCATATAAAAGCTGCTGTGGGTTAGTTCAACCAACTTTGAGTTGGTCACTCAGAGTGGGGAATGTGCGTAACTCATATAAAAAGCCATTTTTAGTGGAGCCCCGAGTCAATGAGTCACCAGGGCAACAGACAACGGGAAGTTCCTAAATCCCGTCACTGGATCTAGAGGTAAATGCAAAAACACAAAATGGAGAATGTTTTAAAAGACAGAGCAACAGCACTCCAGTTGCAAAGGAGAGGAAGATGACGAATGAGAGGATTGCTCTATGCCAGGTCGTTTTACCATTTATTAAGAGCACTCTCCTCTCTGTTGTTTTATTTGTATCATTATCATCATTAATCATTAAAATGAATTTGATCAAGGTCAAAATTACATTCCTACTTGGAATTTCAATAACAGATTTTCTAAATCACATTTTAGAAGAAACTGATATTCAGATGTAAAAAAAACAAAATAGCTTTATTAAATGCGTCGAGTTAAGCTTGACTGAATATATATTTAGGATATCTTAAATAAATTTCTTGAAAGTCAAAATAATAAAAATGATGTTTATTCTTAATCTGTGAAGAGAATTGTTATTGTAATATTCCCATTTTTGTGTTAACTGTTAAATGTTCATGTTTTAGCAATTTATTTTGAAAAAGGAAACCAATAAAACTTTTGAAAATGTCGCTTCTAATCCAAAATGACAGATTTGTTCTGCGTGTTCCCTTCTCCTTTTTTGTTTTGTTAGTTTTACACGGCGATGCCGTGTTTCCAGGTTAGCTTGTGTCTGTTCCTAACCTCGGGGTTCCACTCACAATATGGCGGACACGGGTCGGTTCAAAGGAGAGATGACGCGTATTGTTTAACAGTTCCATGGTACATTTGTGCTTAAAGGAGTTAATCCATTAGTCACCTTATAAACGTACATTTGACATGAAAGCATGCAGATGTAATATGGAAAGGACAATTTACCAGCTTCAAGGATGTTGTGTTCCGTCTTATATTCTTTGTCCTCATCTTTAACTGTTTCGGGAATCTCTCCTATTGCTGCACTCATGTTTGCTCTTAGCTTATCTTTCAATGTTCGTTTAACATTTACTAAACATTTGGCGCTCAGTTTTCACCCAAACTCTTAAAAAAATACAGTTAAATGATTGCCTTTCTTTACTAAACAGGGAGGAACTCATCTACAGGAGAGCTCTGTCTTCTTCTTCTACTACTCCTTCTTCTTCTGTGTTTTTGTTTCCTTATTGGCGGTTGGTAAACAACTTTAAAGGTGCATTACCGCCACCCACTGGAAAGGAGTTTGAACCAAATGTCGACCTAAAAAATACCAACAATAGCATAAATAACTTAAAAACCAAGAACAAAAAAAGAGAATCTTTCCTTCATTTGTATTTTAGTGCTGGTTGGCATTAAAGGACCAACCAGTACTGAGTGTAAATCAAGATGGCAGGCTCTGAAAAATAGATAAATATATAAACTTCCTATATTGTTTTAAGTAATCCCAGTTAACCTGGAATAACATTGATAGAACATAATAATATAACATAAATCTATTAACATACACCCAATTGATTTGGCCTAAAATGCTATCGCTCTTTTTCCTTTTCAAGGTTGCTTATAAATGATGTTCATTATTTCTGATATTTTCTAAAAATAGACATTACACTCTCTATTGTTTCACCTTTTTCACAAAACTCACACTTTCCTGATCCATGTTTCCCCGTTATATTTAAAATTGCATTTAATTCTGAATGTCCCATTCAAAATATATTTATTATTCTTTCCTGCATTATTTTCCAACAGATTCATATAATTTCATTCTGCTTTCTTTAGCCCTCTTCTCAGCCTTTTTATTTCCTTTAACTCTCATGTGAAAAGATACCCAAAGAAAGAAACAAAGAAACTACTAAATCCATCATCTAGATTCTAGAAAAAAGAAAGACTCCAGTCTGTCCATAAGACTCATTTTTATCACATTGCTCCCACCTTCTGAATAGAGGTGGTCCAATTTTTTTCAAATGAAGTGTTAGGTTTATTCTTTATACATGATGTGCATTGTTACTTTGTTAGCCAGATTAGACAGAGTAGAAGGCCTTCCTTCACATGGTGGATGTCACTGTGTGTACGGAGGTCATCTAATCAGGACAGCCTTCGTGTCTACACAGGATATGGGCACATCTTGGAGACGGACTGATAAAGGAGCGCCATGTGTAATCCTGCGGTAAAGAGGCAAGATACATAAAGGTCAAGGCATGGATGGCGTGTCAGTTTCTGATACGGACAGCTAACCATCCACCTGATGCAAAACATGGACTCATGAGGAATAAAAAGGAGGGAATTACCTTGTTCTGGGCTCAATCTTTCCCCCAAAATTAGATTTCAGAAGAAACAAGAACAAGCTGAAACCTATTAACATCATGGGAGAAAAAGTCTGGAATACAACTGTTAACCTTGTACAAGAAGGGGTAGAGCAGACTGTAGCTTCTAAGGAAGTTTTTGTCCTTCTGCGTTTGATGCACAATGCTACGTATCTTCCAAAGGTCTGTCGTGGAGAGTGTGATCTTTCATCCTCTGGTGATGTAAGGGAGCTAATGACTTAAAAACAACAAGCTAATTAATAAGGTCAGCTCTGTTCTAGGAACACCTCTAGAACCTCTGGAGATTATTTCACAAAGAAGAATTCTTCATAAAGTGAAGAACATTATGGACAACTGTGACAATCCTCTTCAGAAGATTTGTAAACAACAGCAGAGTGTTTTTAGTCAGAGGCTTCTCCAGATCTGGTGCAAGACAGACCACTATAGAAGATCCTTCCTGCCTACAGCTATCAATAACTGCAACACAGCTTAAAAAAAATAATGTTTGAGTTACTGCAACATTTAATTTCTCCTTGGGATTAATGAAGTATCTCTTAATAGAATTTACTTAAGAAAAAAGGACAGGTTCTACACTGTACTTAAGTACAAAAGTAAAGTTTTCTGCTTAAAGGTTAAAAAATTACTTTAAAAAATAACATTTTCAAAAACTGTTTTATGTACATACAGTTGGTTAATTTTTCAATTTTGCTCACTGTGTCAGTGGAGAACATGTAAAATACTGAATCGGTCTACTTCTGTTTTTTTAAATTTCAAACAGGATCACTTAGATATAAGGTTGGGTGTTTCAGGAAATTATTACTTTTTGAGATCTGGTATTCAGCCCATTGAAATACATATTAAGACACAATAAACGTGTATATTTAAAATCTAAAAAGGAGGACAGATGGGAAATGTGTTGCATCTCAATGTCTCTTGGCTTCTTGTCTTCATCCATGTCACCATCAGTTGTTTTTTATAAACAAACTGCTCCAAATGGACAGATTCTCTTCATGCTCTTGATTTTTCCTGTTTTTTTTCCAGCTGTTACATCATGTCATTAATAATTAGGGATGCACAGATCCACATTTCCTTTTCTTTCTGATTCAAATACTTTAGAGATCTACAAATTCCAACACTCTCCTACTAGAGCTTTGTTTGTTTTGGCATTATCATTATGGGTGCCAGTTTTTTAAGAGGCTGTCATAACCTACCTACAAGCAAGAAAAATATGCATGAATGCAACTTGAGATTAGTGTAAACCTTCACTGAAGAAGCAATGAGCATTCAGTCTATTTGCTAATTTTTTATTTTTTTTTCCCCACGTCAGTGGGGTGTCAGCTTCACGCAGCTGAAGTTCCTCTTATTCGATGATGTGGTCCAGGTTGTATACAGAGTATATCTTAAATGCAGAGCTGTGAACTACCTGCGGAGCTAATGTAAATCACTGCGTCCACCACGTGCTTCTAACTGCACCGTTAGAATGCAAAGGAAGCAGACTGCGCTTAACTCTTAAAGTTTGAAAAATATTGTCCCTTTCTAACAGGTCAGATACTCAGTGGCATCTCCCTCATATCTAGGGGGGGTTGGGCATTATAATTGTTACAAAGAGATTATCTTCATCTTTTCTTCACATAGTCAATTAACACAGTCAGGATCAGCAACACTTTATTTTTTGTAATATGTAATAAACATGCATTTCTATATACAACTCTGATCACTTTATTTCTTTTGGTAATTTCATTGAGTTAATACAGTAAAGTCAGAACAAAATCATTGTTCTGTAAGAGATTAGTACACATAAAAGATAATAGAGAGAATCAACATATGGCTCTCAGTAAGACTTAATAACCTCTGAAACTTCAGGGTGTCAATACTTTATGATTTAAAGGTATAGTGGAGGATGTTCTTTTTCCAGGTGGATCATCAAAATAATTGGTCCTCCTAATTGTCTATCATTCTGGAGATATTTTTATGTAAGACCATCCTATGTGCTCGTCCTGTTTCACTTGCCGGTGGTGAGCCTGACATAGTGGAAAATTTGCAAATCTTCTTTTGGAAAGTAAGCTTGTGTGAACGATGCAAGCAGCTATTTTTAAACAGAGCGTGCACAAGGAGAAACGGTCTTAACTTAAAGTGGCTTTATTGTGTATTCATAGCTTTTTTTTTTCTTCCTCTGTGGGTTTTCATGTGTTGCTTCAAACTTGAGCTTACAGTAAATCTTGTCCCACAAAGATCACAGCAGAAAGGTTTATGTCCTGTGTGGATCCTCATGTGTGTACTTAGATTTCCCCTTTCAGTAAATCTTTTTCCACATATATCACATGGGAAAGGTCGCTGTCCAGTGTGGACTCTACTGTGCGTCTCTAAATGTATTTTTTGACTAAATTTTTTTCCACAGTGAAGACAGCAGAAAGGTTTCTGTCCCGTGTGGGTCATCATATGTTTGGTTAAGTTTGATTTTTCATTAAATCTTTGTCCACAGAGATCACAAGAGAAAGGCTTCTGTCCTGTGTGGATTCTTGAGTGCGAGTTCAAAAGTGTTTTTCGACTAAAACTTTGTCCACATAAATTGCAAGAGAATGGTTTCTGTCCTGTGTGGATTTTTGTGTGTCTTGTTAAACTGGCTTTTAAGCCAAACCTTTGTCCACACAGATCACAACAGAAAGGTTTCTGTCCAGAATGGCTTATCATGTGTATTTTCAAAGCTGATTTTTCAATGAACCTTTTTCCACATAGCTCACAAGAAAAAGGTTTTTCTTGTAAATGGATTTTTATGTGTTTGGTTAAATATCCCTTGACACTAAAACTTTGTCCACATAGATCACAGCAATAGGGTTTATGTCCTGTGTGGATTTTCATATGTGTATTAAAATTTGGCTTTGCGCTAAATATTTTCCCACATACATCACAGGTGTAGGGTTTTTGTCCAGTGTGGAGCTTCTTATGTCTGTTTAAACCTCGTTTTGATGTCAATAATTTACCACAGTCATCACAGCTAAACTTTAATCCTGGCTGGACTTTCCTTTGTGAGCCTTCATTTGGTAAGCTCGGAGACTCTATATCTGAATTGATTGAGTTGTTCTGAACAAAGGGATGAAAAAAATGTTCAGCAAACATAGAGGAACTATATGGTTTGTTCATATTTTCAGCCAAAGTCAATGACTTCCAGTCATTGTCCATGTCCTTAGTTTTTAGCCCAAAGTCTGACAAGTGTTTCAGCTCAGAGACTGAAGGTTTTATATCATTGTCCTCATCCTCTATAGTGTCTTCAGTCTTTAAGTAAATGGAACCATCTGGAGTCCCTCTGACTTTAAACTGGTCTGGATAGAGCCGAGGGGAATGGTTATCATTCACACCGTCATTGAGAGAAGCAGTCACTGGAAAGCTGGTGGCTTCCATCTCCTCCTTTGCATTGAGCTGCTCTCCCCCCAGACTGACGTAGATTTCTTCCTGTTCCTCCTTTATGTGTTCAGGCTTTGGGTCATTCAGGTGAGCATATGGTCTGTAGTCCACAGTTTCCTCTTCTTTAACAATCACCACCTGCTTAACATCTGCAGAAAACATTGAAAAGCATAATGCATATTAGAAAGTAAGGCACTTAAACAGAAAAAATGTTCTTCAACTATAATTACTTCTCTAATGTTCATGTTTTGTTTCCCGACTCCTTACATTTTTTTCTTAAATTACCACATATCCAGTGTCTGATGCTGTCTGAACTTATAAACACAGATAACACATTTTATTATTGTACTTCGCTTATTCAGACTTCAGTGCAGTGCAAGACTAAAGGGCTGGTTATACTCCTGCAGCAGTGTGTTGTAGTGAGCTTGACGCAGACATTTTTGATTTATGCTACATTTTGAGCATTGTCTGCGCTATATGCTGTGGGTCTAGATACGGCCGAGGCGGAGAGGAAGCAGGGGCAAGTTTGTGCGACAACGGAGGGACATGAGGGCGAAAAATAGTGGTCATTCAGGTGAAAAAAGGGTCCCAGCGTTCTCGCGCACCTCTCTCTTCTAGCTGGTCCAACGTCACGAGTTGTTTTCCGCAATTGCCGTCATACAAACAAATTTAGCTGGCCTCCTATCTGCGGTCACTAACAAGTTGGGAGATGTGCAGCAGAGTGTCTGCGGAGGGGGCGGGGACGTCTTGTTGTTCACCGCGACACCTACGCAGACAACCTAATTTCGAAGTATAAATCAGCCATAAGAGTTTAATGCTAAAGTAAAAGCAAAGGCCTGTATCACGAAGCAGGATTACTGGGTTAGTGAGACAACTTCAGGTTTAACCCTGACTTTCCTGTGAAGCTGGATCTTTTATTTTTGTCCTGTTTTGCCAGTTTGGCTCTGGAAAGAGATTTCCCAGAGCTTGAAGATAGTCCAGCAGCTTTTCTTTCACAAGCAGACCATTACTGCCTTTGCCATAAGGTTCCGCTTGATACTTCTATATGAAACTGCATTGAAAATTGTAAAATCGTGTACAACAGACATGCAGAGGGAAAGGGAGGTGAGAAAGAGGGGCAGAAACAACAAAAAGTGCATGAATATAGAGAAAATAAAACAAAACAGAAAATATACACAACACAGAAGTTATAAATAACACCTAGAATCTGCTTCCACACCTGTATGAGATTAAAAGAACAGAAAACAGGGAACATAAAAGCAAAAATAAGACAAGATGCAACCAAAGTAAAAACCAAAAAAAGCTTCAAGAGCAGGGGCTATCCCTTAGATATCCATGTGATTGGAATACAAAATCTATGGTGATTACACAAAATTATTATTCAGGATGGTATACATTTGTAGCTGCAGCTTAGTGTTTAGTATTAGCATGTACCCATGAACACCTGGAACCAAACTTTTGTGGTATGTATGCATGGGCATTCTCATGTATAAAGGATTTACAAAGCTTCCTCATCAGAAAAATATCCTTAAGTGCAGGTTTGGAAGGGCCAGATTTGACCTACAGGTCTCAAGACAGAAAAAGAGGCGATCCCGGCCCCAGATATCTAGTGGCACCCCAGATCACTGGGAAACAAAGAGGGCAGATATAGGGATGGCCGCACCCACCGGCTAAGGGCAGATGAGAGCACCCGAAGCCCGACCCCCGAGGGGCCCAACCCCAGAGGCCTTAGTGCTGGAGTCCCATGGGCTCGCTGCTGTGGGCCGGTCCCGCCCAAGATGGACCCGGATTAGAGCTCCGGAGTCCGAGAGCCTGGGGTGCTCCAGCTCTTAGTGGGGACCCCACAGCAGATACAGGTACCTGGCACCTGTTACTGGTGGAGAGCATAAGAAGGGGGGAGAGGTACGCCCTGCTCATAATTGGGACTGAGGATGTTCAGTAGGTGGGGCGGGGGAGGCAAACATCCAACCTTACAATTAAACATAAGTAGACAGAGCCTAACAGGGAATTTTTTTTAACAATATACTTGCAAAAATGAAGAGGGAATTATCCATTGGGGGCCAAAAATGGTAGATGAAACTTACTGAAATGCTCATACAAGCAGACTGGAATATCCATTGCTAGTTGCAAAAGTAAAAACCGCAGGATTCCCTTAAGAACCAAAATCAAATGAAAAAAATCATGGTATTGCAAAACACCACTGTATATTTTTCCCTCAAGGCACTTTGCTGCCCCCTCAGGATGCTTTGCGGATAACAGAGCAACCCACTTAGAGCAGTAATTATACCAAATTTGTTAAAAAAAGATATATTAACATTTTGCATTTAATATAAAAATACATTTTCGTCTGTCAATATGTTTTATCCAGAACTCCTCAAGTGAACACGTTTTAGTGTCCCCCGGTTAAATTTCGTTTAAAAAAAAAAAACTTTTTAAGGAACCTTTTGCCATTCAGTTATTGATCGATTAATCGGAAAAATACCCAACAGATTAATCTATTTGTAAAATAATCGTTAGTATAGATAGACAGACCTTTCTCTCTCTATATAGTTTCAAAATCAGTACAGATCTGATTTTTAATAGAATTTTAAATTAATTTTGCTTGGGGCCACCAAAATCCTTGAAATGGCCCTGCCCCAAAGAAACCAGAACAGGTAGCCAACCCGCCAAAGAGCCCACCATGCCTACAGACAGTCATAGACATTCCAGGCCCCCACATCCATATGGTCCTCTCATACCAGTAGACCCCCCCCCAGGAGAAGTACGACGTGACTACACAGGTGCGGGATAGCCCAAAGCATCCCCCCACCCGACTGCAGGCACAGGCTGCGTGCAGGCTCAGGGCAGGCAGCAAGACAGCATCGGACGACCCACCATGGAGATGATCTTCTACCAAAGATCCTATGTGTGTGGTAGTGTGATAGAGTAGGTGAAGGGAAGCATCGGAGATGGGGAGCAAAGAACTGGGGAACGGGGTTCTCCCAGGGAGCCAGCTCCCCTACTGACCCCAATAGGCACCCTGTTCTCCACCCAACAGATCTGAGGATTGATGTAAATCCTAGAAAAAGCTCACCCCAGCAGCTAATCAGCTGTTCAGAAAACAATAACGTCCCAATAAGGTTGAGAACTCTGAGTTCAGTTCCACAATGGCTGCTATGAATTAGTTCAATCAACTCTAAGTAGGTCCATTCAGAGCTAAGCACATATGCGTGAGAAGTAAAAAAAACTTTCGTCAGTTGCGGCCCCAAATCGACAAGTCACCACGAAACCAGAAAATAGTAAGTGCCTATTTCACCCAAGTGGAACTAGAGATTTTAATGAAAACATTGGTGGAAAAAAGGAAAATGTGTTTAAAAGACAAAGAAACAGCACTACAGCTGCAAAGGAGAGGAATAACTTTTGCCGCTGGACACCGGAACGTCAACCAATCACAAAAGCTGATGATCTAGGAGCTTTTTTGGG